CGACTCGCCTGGTTACTCTTGATGTGTGGAAGAGTGGAGTATTGTTCAATGATTTTTACGAGGAAAGCATTCAGACCCTGATGAACATAATCCTAAAGGAATCATCGTCAATCAATGCTGTTGGGTTGAGTGTATGTTCAACGGAGAATCTTACTGGCATCAATGCAATGACCTCCTGTGTACCAGGTGGAATACTGCGAGGCATAGAATCAGCCGACTCTTAACCCGCAAGAAACAAAAACGTCGACGTACTATGCGGTCAGGACCAAGTTCATCATAGCCTTCACTTGTATACCGGCATCTTTGTAGCTTTTCGCAATGGGCTGCGATCCAAGACTGCCGGGTTCCTCACCGGAGTACCTGACAATTTCGAGTATAAGCCTGTGAAAAGCCTGCTGTTGAAAGCTTGTTAACGAACAAACGTACCAATGAAATTCTACAGCTGTTCTCGGCTTGAAACTTTTCGAAGCCACCAAAACACGAAAGACTTCGAGAATATCGGAGGCGGCAGCGGCGTTGTCGTCTGCACCGGGCGCTCGACCTTCATGCAAGTCCTTCCGATTGATACTATCCAAGTGGGCAGAGATTATAGTAATAGGTCCGTCGGTCGATCCTGGAATTCTAGCAATGACAGAGTTCTGAGCCCAACTGTGTACGAAAGGGCGGACAGTTGCGCCGCTTCCCGGATAGTTGCTAATGATCTAATAGTGTGTCGGCTAGTTATCATGGGATAACGGTAAATCGGATGAACCAACTTACGTCGCTGACAGTTTGTACGAACCATTCTGCCGACCTTGCACCACCGTCCGTGACAAGATATCGATTGTGATAGTTAGTGAGTTCATTGACCCATGATTGTATATTCGGAAGGGAGAGGTCAGCACTGATCTTGTTTACCTCGGACTGATGGGACAGAGGAGGATCTCAAGATATAAATTAGCCAAACGTAGGGCAGTTCTAAAAAAACACCAACATGCTACAAGAGTGTCCAACTGGGAGTGTGTATCGTCAACAGGGTAACAACTAGAAGTGATATAAAAACCTACAGTATTATGCTTGAACTTATCAACCTTCGCTTTCCTGTCTGCACTGGTACCAGGAGCCTCCGGAGGAACGATGATCGCAATGACGGACGTAGCGACAATAGCAAGATGCAATATAATGCAGAGAGGCTTCATGGTAGACACACGACGATTGGAAGGGAGTGAATGCCTCAGCTAGTCGGTAAAGGGTCGTACTTATACGATATAACATCCACGCACACGTGGACGGTTTATGGCTACCATCAGATGGATATTTCGTTCTTCATGCCATCCGCACCTGTCTTCTTCTAAGCATCGCCACTGGATAAACTCTAGAAGGCCAGATATCCAAACGTAATAATGAATTGAGGAAAGAAGCCATTTCCATCAGATTAAGCTACTAGAACTTTCACTCGGTAGTTGAGCAGTAAATCTCGCGTTCCAAATAAACTCTGGTCAACGACGGACCTTCTAGAACAGTGCCAGTTAGAGACACTGTCTCATGTACCCTCTTAGTGTATGGTTTTATTGGAACTCAGCAGGACTGGATTTAGCTACAAGTGATGGACAGGCCAGTGACTCACCCGAACCCTTTCAATGACAGAGTGGTGAATACAAAGTGGTGAATGTAAGATGAAACCTTTTAGCTATTGTTCAGGTTGAAACAAACTGGAACGCCAGAATAGGTTACGCATTTGGTGATCTAGCTCAAAGTAGAATATTAGTTGACAAGGAAGTAATTCCCATCAGGTCATTAGAACACTCGGTAGTTATCGATCGCTTGCACTACGAGCAATAAATCTCGCGTTCAAATGACTTCTAGTCAACGACGGACCTTCTGGAACAGTGCCAGACATATTTGGCCTGATGCACCCTCGAAGTGTATGGTGGCAGGACCTCGATCAGCTTCGGCTCTGCAAGTGGCGCAAGCCACTAGGCTGATGGAAAGATATCCAGGTATCGGAAAAATTGTCCGAACAACGAGAACCTTCGTTGGAAGCAAAACCGCTGTCAGGTTGCGAACGAACTCTTGCACAAAGACCTAGTTCAAGGCTTTCCGTATCCTGACTTGGAGCAAACGTAAACCAAGAGGCATTCAAAGCACGAGTCAGCTTCCTGCTGGAGTACACAGAAGTAGGGCATTCAAGTTGAGAAGTTTAAAGTGGGACAGGGCAGCTAACGTAAAGTGCCGCTTATTTAGTCCCATTTCCATTCAAGAGACAGATAAAATCGGACTGGAATCATGATAACTAGTGTGACTAGTACAGGAGTCGAAGGCGCAGCTTACAGTTGTAACAGTTCGGTGGGACGCAAGTTGGTTATGCACGAAATGTTTGTGTAACCTCTGATTCAGACACCAAGCTCATAAGAAAATGCAACAGAAATATTGGTAAACTCGAATGTATGGGACCACGAGAGTCCACTGACTGCGGTTGTGTCTTCGCTCGTGTGTCTGTAGGGGTTGATTCGATTAAGTTTCCCTCCATAGGCATGCACGTTTGGTAACCCAGAATGTAACAGCTAACGTGGTCTGAGCACACTCAGCCACACTGTGATCTGAGTGAGATTGGAAGCCATACTAGGTAGGGAAGCAACTTACGGGAACACTTCGAGGGGAAATTGGAATCCTCATCAATGATTAGGCCGAGAAAAGCCGTCAGAGTCGCATCAGTATGATTCTATGGATCGTGTAATGAAGACGCTCCTTATTACATCTATGAACGGAAACACTCATGGTCATTGAGGCAATGACCTCTGTGGCCCTTGCTGAACTTGTGAGCAGAACCTTCTATTGCAGAGTAGAAATCATTCGTCGCCCCGCATCAGCACACTGCTATTCCCATCGAACACACGTCGATAGTTAGCGATCCCCGTGTCCGAGAAGCATGCAGATACTCATGGGGTTGACACAGAATTTTTTTTTCGGTTTAGCTGTGCAGGCATGTAGAACTACCAGCAGACAGGAGCAGCGAATAGAACGTTTACGATAAGAGCATAAAATCCCCAGACAGTCTGAACCAATGACCAATGAGTATACACAGATTGACGCGAGCGAGAAGAGACCGGCCGAGAACGTAGGAAAACGTAGGCGGGAACTCCTTGGAGCAGCAGTAGCTTTTGTCACTCACAGGATTCAGAGCAAAGACCTAGATGGCTGAGATAACTGTCTCGTCAATACATAGATATGCACAGTGCACGAACATATACATATGTACCATGTCTGTTCAACACAGGTCACTATTGTTCACGTGGAAGAAAGTCGTCGCGAGCCCCTCGAATCTCGGAGCTTGCTTGACTATTTCGTGCTTCCGATCTCTGCGATTTCACCGGGGGTGAGTCAAACAGACGGGGACGAGGATAGCAATCGCCAAGGATCCTTCCAACAGGTCCAGTCTCAATCAGTCATTGTACCACCCACTTCTCGTAACGTTAAGAAGCATTGCATGGAAGATTGGAGCACAGTATAACAGAACGATTTTTGTCCTTCCTGCCGGGGATCTAACGATAAGAGCGGAGAAGCAGATTGAAAGTTTTGGGCGCATGAGCATCTGTGAACAAACAAATACATACATTGTCCGACTTCCTTTCGATCGGTGGCGGCAGCGCATCGATACAATCAGAATGACGGTGTTGAACTTCTCTCAACTACGAATTACGGGTCGATCCTTCCCTGGGCCCGCTGTTTCCGATGCTCTTGCTCTTCTGCGTTATATGACAAACTATATATTTACTCATCTCATTTCGTTCAACATTTTTCGGCCAATGATGACTGTCGTTGTATACTTGAATTTAGGCTACCCAAGTTCTCAAGAATCCGCGATTGCTTTTGCGATTGGCGGTCGGTATCATATGGGCATACGAGCCCGGACTCCGCCCGCCCTTTCTACTCCTTCACTCATCTCCCTCTACGTGTGCTTTGTCTCCCTGGTGCCCTCACACCAGATGCCTTTGTACATATCTTTACTTCCCCCTTCTATGTCCAGCTAAGTAATTAATCCTCGTCACACTCCTTTCGTTGTCTAGTCTTGTTAATTCTGTACTCCTCAGCTTCAGCATACCTGCACACTATCATTTTGATTCCTTTGTAACCAGACAAATTCCTTCGTTGATTTGGATGGGAGCCAACATTTCAACTGCAAAGTAGAAATATGAGGAGGACCCGACAAGAAACACAATACAGTCTTTTTGATGGCTCATTACCAGGAATAAAACCTACTTTCCGAGGACTTTGACACCAAAGAGGATGTGGTTTCACCTTGTCTTCACATACCTTGTATTACCAAACTCTCCGGTACAACTGTTATGACCTTTTCCCACCCATAAAGTTATGGGCCTTTGCTCACCCCAATCTGCCAGCACTCGGTGGCATTAATGGATTTGAGTCTCTTGTCATTCTTACTTCAAACTTTTGTGAGAGTTTGATTAGTTGCTCAAGAGGTTCTGCAAATGACAATTGTAAAAGAAAAAGATATTCTTATGACATTTAGAGGCTCATCCACGCTGGCAGCTGACATCTGTGTTCTCCATCGAATACTCTTATCAGATATAGTGCGTACTGAGCCTAGGCCTGTTCTACGCCAAAGCAAGGATACATGTTATACAGTTCCAAAAAAGTCCTATCACAAACACAACAATCTACCTGCAAATGATGACCAAATTTGTAGGATGGATCAAGGTACTATCAGGATTGAAACCTGGATTTTGGATATCAAAGGCCACACTGCAAGACTGGCACCCCGTTTCTGCACCACCCGCCTCCCTTGCAAAAAGCTTTTCCCTCCTGAAGGCACTACCAGGATTCAAACCTATTCAAACCTAAGAAGAGAGACATTGGTTCTCGGGCCGGGTCATTGCAGCTACGTGATTACCACCCGTCATGGAACCATATGCATGAAATCAGATTAATAACGCCACAAATCCAACTCGTCATATTGAATTATATATATATATATGTGTTCGAGCCGAAGAAGAAAAGAAAGGTGCTACCAGGGTTCGAACCTGGGTTTCGGGAATTTACTATACATATAGCTCATAGTATCAAAATCCCGAGTGATGACCACTACACTATAGCACCTACATAGGTCATATCAAGTTTTACATTATACTAGCTAGGTAGAAGGGATCCTTCTTCCTTTCTTACCCCTGTTTTTTTTTACCCAAAAAAAGCCCCTCGTACTCATGGTCAAGGTGCTACAAGCGTTCGACATGGGTTTTTGAAATTTGATATACATACCATTTCTTCAATATCCCGAGTACTAACGACTACACGATAGCACCCTGTTGTAAAATCATGTAGGCAATGAACTGATGTTCCCTCGTCGCAATTCCTCCAAAAACAAGTAGAACTCATTAGTCAAATTTCTTGGACTCGCGTAAACAGAACATGCAGCAGCAATAAGAAAGAGCATGGTAAAAGAATCAGTCGATATGTTATGTACCCGATCGGTATGTACCAATTGCAATATACGAATTCACTCTAAATCGAAGAATGTGTGGTATAGGTATCGGCATCAGCGTGAACAAACTCCAGTGTAAAAAGGTCAAATTCAAATCCGTAAGAATGTTCAGTTCAATGTCTTTTCTCACCAAGTGCTCTCTCGGAGTCTGAGCAGCTTACATCATCAAACCCAGCACACCTGCGACCGCACCAACCACACTCGCGGCCTTCATATCTATGCCGACAGCGCTATTAGGCTTGTCGTTAGAACCAGTCGAAGAAGAGGTAGCGGCAGCATTTGCGCCGGAGCCAGTAGCGGATGAGGAAGCGGATGCAAGGCCTGGTGTAACGGTGGGGTAGGTTGAGCCGGTGGCTTTGATTTCGAATGGTTCCGAGGTTACATATACCTGGAAAGGGGTTAGTGGAGGGTAGGGCATATGTATAGGAAGGGAAGTGAAGACGCACATCAGTCGAATTCAAGGGGTTAGCCAACTGAATCGTGTAGCCTTTTCCTGGAACGGCGTTGAGCTGATCGGCAGTGACAGTTTTCGAGCAGTCAAAGTTATTTTGGATGCTGAGGAATGCAAAAGGGGCTGCGAGGATTTTCGGGTCCTAAATTGCAGCGTTAATCACACATGATATAATTACCCGGAGGAAAGAGCAAAGATAGAGCAGAGCGTGAGACAGGGGCTCAGAGAGGGGACAGGAGCACTCACACTATTAACCAGGAGGACAACGAAGGTAGGGTGGGCAAGAGCATCTTGATCCTTGCATGACCACGAAAGTGTGTTTATGGATTTTGCAACTGGTTATTGAGCATGTCAGTGTCTGCCAGCTTTGACCAGAATGCTGCATGCACGTACTCCACCACACATCAGAACTCGGCGAGAAAATCTGCCAATCAGCCGCGGCAGAGGCAACGAGGGCTGCGACGGCTGCGAGACGGGTGAACTTCATTTCGAATTGGTAAAGGAATGTGGGAGTTGTCAGAGGACAAGGAGGGAAAAGAACCTCAACGGCTTCCGCGTGGTACGAGGAATGGTGCGGAGTTTTAAATTCTTTCCGTTGATATGAAGTTGAGAACAGACAACGGGGCACATCAGGTTTGATTGGCCCTCATGATGAGACCTTGACGCTGGCGCCACAGTCTGCATTCATGAAGCGTCGAGTCGTATGGCCGAGCTCGTGTCTTGATTTATCAATTTACGATCTTGCGCTAGCCATCTAGTGCGCAGAAACGACGTTCATTCTTCGGATAATATCCCGGCTGAGTTGATCCGCATTTTGGTGAAGAAATAAATTGTGAGTACTTGTGCATATTTTCGCCAGCGAGTTCTCGAATCCCACCAGATTGGTCAACGCTGATGCTTAATTTAACTTTGCGTGCTGACGCAAAACTTAGTACAAAAGCTTGACGCTCCGCGGTGCTTGTTGAGCGGCAAGGCAGAAGGAGAGCTTCTTGCGACAGTTCAATCTGCGGCAATGTACAATCAGTAGCCTGCCTGCCGCTGATCCTGATGATTCTTCAGTCGTAAGCTCATGTATACATTCAGGAGGATACAAAGCCCGCTCTAGGTCGTGAGATGCCATAAAAGTGCTTCTGCTCGATGCTATTAACAGCGGCGGGAATGGCCGTTGGTTTTTATCGTATAATGATACTTCCGTCGACTCTGCGCGTTATGCATTGAGGTAGCGACTCGCCTGTTACATCTGATCAAGTTGGATTAGAATCAGGGAATGTCAAGAATCGTAAGCCACATTTGATTTACTTCGACCTCTGTGAAATAAGGCTGTTCCACAGTTCTTATGACAGTACCCAAAGGTGTATTGTCGATTGAGTTCCCGATTGCCTCTCCTTTCCTTCATCAGCGTGCAGTACTTACTAATTTCTAATCCAGGAAGCTACCCGCTTACTGACTCTGTGACCATAACAATCTTTTCCTCCAAATTTGATTTAGCCTACCATCGGTCTCAATAACATTATACTACTTGTGTTTCTTTGTATGTCTCTACATATATACGCGCCAAAGACGCGCTGTCAATCACGTCCCATCCACGTTGTCTGGCATCAGAGCTGTAGCGCATCTGAATTGGCGCAAAAGTGGTCAAACGTGGCTTGTCTGGAGCGGTCGCATTCCCACTCTATCGCCAATTTCTTCCCATCCGATTTTCACAGGAGGAAAACCGGATCCTGATATCCCGTTTGTTGGGCCCGTGTTGAGGATACTACCAGGTATGGAAACGTAAGTGATGGCATTCATTTTCTCGGAAAGTACCCCCCTGCTGTTTAGGGATGCGAGGAGACTATTGAAGAATACTGGTTGATATCAAGAATGAGGCAGGTATGTATGATTTCTTGAAGAGAGCCTCAGACTGGTACTCACAGCTGCTGAGTGGGAAGAATATTGCTATAAACACGAGTCCATCGGGCAAAATAGCATAGCTGATGAGGCAGGCCATGCAACTGAGACTATATCATCCACCATAGGAAGCTCATGTCTTGAATACTTAGCAACCTAATGGTGACCTACGTTGTAAGAAGAGCTGATTGGATTCGTTGTTAGCGATGAGTAACATGGTCACGACATGGGTCGCCGCAGCACACACCTGTATTAATGGTGTACATCATGAGTGTTCTAACAAGCGAGTCGGTTCTTGAAACAACATCAATCGATATTGGAAGCCTGATCGAGAACCGATGAAAGTTTACTTTTTGAACCCAGTGCGGCGTCGCCAAAGGTTAATGCAGAGAAAGGTTGCAATAAGTGTATCAGCTGCTATCCCACTTCCAAGCCCTGTGTAAATCAGGTACTTGCAGAATAATGAGGAGTGAGATTCAATGCTGGGAGTTTGTTTGACTTACTGAGATTCTTGAAAATTCTACTAAAGTCAACCCTTGTATGAATCTATAAAATCGATGAACGGTACATTAATACCCAAGGTGTCAGCACCTACGCCCATGTAGCGAAGACTGGATAGTGATAGTAATTTAGTTCAGCTGACGTATACAAGGGAAACAGGTCAAACTCAGACTCACCGAAACCAGATGCTGGAGGATAACACTTTCATTGTGTTGGACAGGCTCAAATTTTCAAAAAATCATACCTAAGGCAAGAAGAGATACTAAGGCCTGCTTTTGGTTAGCTTCTTCTTTTGGAAAAAATATAGGCTTGGGTTCACAATGCAAATGGCGAGCAGATAATTTTTCCTGGACACTATCCAGAGAACCACATCATGATGGAGCTCTAGTAATGATGGGCAACCACGTACGCAGCCAGACACGGCGCCCAAAAAGCCTGAAACTGATCTTCATTTTTGAGGCAATTTGTCATTGGCAGCGGCGCACCATCTGATAATCAAATCGCTGGTATTCTGCCCCAAAGGTTTCAGCATTCCACTTTTGACCATGGCTGTAAATTCACCGCAACATATAGTTGTATCTGCAAAGTCAATGGGTATGACAAGTCCACGAAATTTATGCCAATGATACGCACAAGCATGCTCCTGTAGCATTAAGGGTATTTTAAACCATGGCTAGACTAAAATATTGTCATACTGCTTACCAAACTGGTAACTCCAGAGCAAAGTAATTTCCGGAGTTCAAAACCATGTAAAAGTACAGGCAATGAGCTATGAGAGCCAGATGCAGGGTGTTCAGTGTCCTAATATCATGAGTAAGTCGAGAAGAATACATATGGGCAACATTCGTACCAAAGTAGGAGTATCTATTAACACCATGTCAATAGATTCAAGGATTGTAAGGTGCCAGAGGAGTTGAACCTACCACTGTCTTTAACAATTTTCCATCTTTATGATTTTTTGTGAAGTATGTGTAGGACTGAATGCATGCTATTCCATAGAGGCTAAAGGACAAGCATAATCAATGTAATGTTTTGGTAGTTTGCTGAAAGCCTACTACATTCCAGCAACAATTCCGCCGATCAAAATGGCCCCAAGTGTGTTGTCAAGTGGAATCAGCGGTTGCAAGGTAGGCAACATAGTCTTCAAGAATCACTGGGATTGGTGGTATCAGAGGAAAGAAGGAATGTGATCCTTTTGCTGTCATTCTGTAGTATCAGTCTCTTGTGACAGGGCGAGGAGTTGGGTGATATTAGAGTGGTGAGACATCATTCTAACAATAGGCTGTTTCACGGGGTTCCGAGTCCCCAAAACTTTATAATCAGCAAAATTGATTAGCAAAGTTTGATGGCAACCCTTGGCTAGGATTCCGAGATCTGAGCACCATGTGCAGACAGAAACGACATCGAAGGTGCATAGTTTGAAAGTTTTCCAGCTCAATACTGGCACAATTTCTGGACCTGTATCAACTGTGGCAGTGGTTTTTGAGCACCATTGTTGAGATCACAATCCTTTGAGGTTACCAATTACTTGAATAAGTCTCAGAGATGTAACAAATTGAAAAGGAAATACTAAAAGCACAGCGAGCCAGACACACCAGAATGTCTTTCTTTGTTTCAGAGTGGAAGGAAGAATTGAACAAGAGATGACAAGAAGATTGTGCAGAGTTTGAAAGGCTAACAGGAGCAGATTGCTAATCTTGACAACCTCTGCTCAGTGCTGTGCAGCTAAATTGGCATGTATTGCCCGGCTTAAAGGGCTCTACTGTACCTCATCTT